TTTGTTTTTATTAATGTTGTTGTTAAAATAAAATTATTATTAAAACACTATTAAAAGTTCAAATTATAATATGAAGTATATGAATTATAAATCTGTAAAGCAATTATATTAATGATTAAACACCAACAACAAAACAACAACTAGGCTAATAATAATAATAATAATAATAATAATAATAATAATAGGCTAGTTGTCATTATTAACCTCAAGTTCTTTCTTTGTGTGTCATTGTAACAAAGATCGTGATTCACAGCTGATTTTAAATGAAAACAGCAGAACATGTGAAATGGGCTGGTTATGTCGAGGTTGCCATATAATAATTAGCATTTTCATTCTGCTGCTGAAATGAAGAGGGAGAGAGAGAAAGAGCCCGAGGCGCAGCTCCAGGCAGCACCTATAGAAAGAAAGGAGCGGAGAGCCATTCTACACAATTAACATGTAAAATATCCAGTGGAAATGGGTTCTGAAAAGAGACGGAGCGGGTCAGCTACACCTCATTTCAGTAGATCCCGTAAACTCTCGTGATTACAAAGTTTACCGGAGTAATTAACGGCGCGGGGCCGTCAGCTGCACCTGCGCCCGGGGCCCCATACATACACCACCAGTGACAGAGACAGAGATTTCAAGTCTCGGTTTTAAACAGCTCACCCCGCGATGAGTTTGTCACCAGCAGCACGTCCTTCACGAGACGTGATTGACCTACTTTCTTTCAGTTATTTTCACAAATCAGACGCTCGTTGGGAGCTTGAACATCTGGTAACCGAGAGGAAGAGGCACCGGTCTGTCTATTCATGCCTTTCTATAGGCGTTCAGTCACTTCTGCCCCTGTAGGTGAGACGATCTCGGGCTTTTCTGGCACGGAAAGGTCCATTATGTGGTGCCATTGCCCCACCTACAGGCCTGAGGCGTAACAAAAAAAACCTTTCAGTCGGAGCCCGAGGTCAGAGGCTGCATCTGCTGGAGAATAGAATAGAATAGAATAGAACTTTTAAAGAATAAAATAGATAATGAATAGAATATTTAAACAACAGTACATAATAAATACATTCTTAGTGCTTGCTGCATGTGACATTTTGATTTCTCTAAAATAAGTTATCTACACTTAAAAATGGCATATGCCATTTTCACTCAGAAATTGCTAAATCGCAAGTAACGCATTGAATTAAATGTGAAATTCTGAAATAGAAAGACTGAAATGGTATTTCCTTGTTTTAGTAACAACTTTGAAAAAAAAAATCATTTTTATCAATGTACAGAAATAATTAAAAATAAATATTATTCAAGATATCATTCAAATCCCTTTCAACAATGCAATCACAATAAACATTACTTTCTGCCATGCATACGTTTAAGTGTAGAAAAGGTAAATGTTTACACATCTTTCTATTTTCCACTTAGATCATTTGCCATTTACTAATCTTTTTGTTTTATTTACCTATTCATTAAACTATTTAAGGGCTTTCCTACTAAGGTAAAATGCAGTAACAGCAACACTGGAACTGAGAAAAAAATGGCATGCACTTTTTTTCATATCAATTTTGAACATATTTGAGCAAAGCCTGTCTCTCACAGGACAGATCATATCTAAAAACCGGGTTTTAGTCATAATCCAGTTGAAAAAAAAAATGTGTATATACACAATTTCACAATGGTTCAGAAACATAAAAAGTCACATTTTCAAATTGTGTGTTGAGG